TATATATATATATATATATATATATATATATGAATGGTTAGAAAATTTTGTGGACATAGGCCTCTTGTTATATATCTACTCCTCTATATAAACAGGAGAACCCAAGATTCACTATTCATGCTACAGTAATATTTACTATGACATTATTACCGTAGAAAACATGAAACTGTACATTGTGGTTTTTGAAAAAAAAAATAATGTAGCACAAGAGAATACTGTAGCAGAGGCTAGATAAAGTAACAATTCAAAAAGTAAAAAATATATACTTAAAAACATGATTAGGGAAAAAAATATGTCATTATGTTTTGCACCACTAGTATATTCATATATGCCCAAAACCTTAATAAGGAGGAGACCCCTCCGAATTAGAAAAAAGAAAGGTAGGTTCCTAAGCACCAGAAGACAGCGGTGTTTACGCCACCGATTTATTACGCCTCACTCTAGTCTTATCTCAGCACCAAAGCCGGTGAGCTGAACCTCCATCCCAAAAACCCCCAAAGAAAAGAGAGAGAATACACAAATTCAACCCCTACCCAAAACAAGTCATATGGGTCGCTTCCGATTTCTCACCCTTCTCCTTGTCTCCGCTCTTCTCCTCTCAATTTCCCTTCCTCAAGGTTCTCTCCCTTTGCAAATCCTCTTAATTATTTGATTCTTCGGTTCCCCCCACTTCCCTTTTTTCTTACTATTTGTTGTTGGGTTTGTAGGGTATGGGAGAAGGATCAAGGTTATGAAGCGTTACGATGCAGGGCAAGCTTTCAAGCCTTCTGTGGTTAGTCTCCGTGAATAGCTTCCATTTTTTTTATTTTTATTTTTTTGGATATTTTCATTTGGGGGGGAGGTTTGTAATTTTCCTTTTTTTGTGGGGGTTTTTTTTTAAGGAGAAGGTGCTGGTCGAGAGAGTAACGGAAGAGATGGAGGAGGATTACAAACAGCCAGGACCCAACACCAACCCAAAGAGCGCAGCGCCTCCTTCACCTGATCAGCCTTAATAACAAGGATTTAATAGTTTGCATAGTTTTTCTAATAAAGTGTGGAGTTGAATTATGCGCAATGTGTAGCCGGTGAGTATGCAAGTGTTTTTCACGAAGTTTTTGAGCATACGGAGCCTGGAGAGCGCTGTGTGTACGGGTTACGGGCATTTTAACGACCGTGCTCTCGTGTTTGTGCTACGTTCGCATCCTCATCCCGTCAAAAATAATATCCGATGTAGATATTTAAATACGTCGTGCGCTTATATTTGGATCCTTTTGCACCCCTGGTTGTCGTTGGTAATGAAGCTAGATAATTTTTAATTAGCTGTTGTTTGTAGCACCTTCAGAATATGTAAAATCATAGTTGTTAATTTTTAATTAGCTGTTTGTATCAGGATGCTACTTACAAAGGAGAACGGCAACAACCGTGCAGTTTTAATTTTTGGTTGTTAACCAGACCCTTTTTTTATTTATTTATTTTGGGAGTCTAGAGACCATATGCACACAGATTATGCACACAGATTTCTTCAGGAGAGCAGGGCATGGTGTGGATGGTGGGATAATTTTATTTTTTGTCATCACTGACGGATGACACAGTAGCAAGGTTTCTAGTAATATAATAAATTTATTGTTAGATGGAGTTAAAAAAAAAGGTTTTCCACTAGAAACAACCTTAAAAATTAGGATTAAAAAAACATAAACCATCTTTTAATGTCAATTTTATTCGTAAGTCACCTTACTGTTGGTTTATGTTGCAATCAACCTCTTCCAAGTTAGTTCCTTCGTTGCAAACTTAAAAATACCCTTATGAACTTAGGATGAATTTTCAAAACCAACCTATTTCCAGATTTAATCCCAAAAAAAGACCTGTTTTGAACTTATTTTCAAAAACCGACCCGGTTTCAGCTCTGGCGCTGAAACCAGGTCGGTTTTTGAAATTTTTTTTCCGAAATTTCACGGGAGCTGAAGTTTAGTAAATTTGCTAAACTTCATGGGAGTTCAACTCCCGTGAAGTTTCGTAGTTCAAAAAAAAAAAATTGAACTATGAAACTTTACGGGAGTTGAACTCCCGTGAAGTTAGCAGCTTTACTAAACTTCACGGGAGTTCAACTCCCATGAAGTTTCAGAAGCTTTTTCACAAAAAACGACCTGGTTTCAGCGTCAAGGTTGAAACCAAGTCGGTTTTTACAAATAAGTTCAAAATAGGTCGTTTTTTGGGATTAAATGTTCAAATAGGGTGGTTTGAAAATTTGTCCTATGAACTTACATTCAAGGCACATTACTCATGCTGTTAATGTTTAGACTAGTTAGGATACTAGTCATGTACATTGAACATGAAAATTTTTAGGTGTTTAGTGAAAAGTTGCTTAGGAGGTAGTTAATTGTTTATTTTAAATGTGGTTTATGTGTAAATTGATATTGAAAAGGTGGGTTTTGTATAATCACATTATTTTTAAGGTTGTTGTTTTTTTTTTTTTTTTGGGGGGGGGGGGGGGGGGCAAACAATAATAAGGGGTGCAAGATATAGAAATGCACAGCAACCGATTCATTTCCTTCACATAAATTTTAATTCAAATGTTCATGATATATAAGACATTTGATAAACTATTGAACTATAAACAATAATAAGGTTAACAAAATATTGAATGGTTACGATCTCCACTAAACGAATACCAACCTTAGAGGATTTTTTAAGAGGATCAACTGATTAAATGTTGCACTGTAAACTGTTTTGCAGTCAATTTGACCGTCAAATAGCTTTTACAAAAATGCACTGTAAACTATTTTGCAGTCAATTTGACCGTAAAGTAGTTTTTACAGAAAGAATTTGATAAACTATTGAACTTTTGAAAAAACGGGTTCTTTTGCCAAGATTAAGTACAAGTATTCGACATAAAACCTGATACAAATAGGCACGTAGCCACGTACACACATAGGATCCATTAGCTACTCGGGTCTGTATCCGACCCGGATTTTTCCTTTTTTCCCATTTGGTCTTATTTTCACTTTGATACCCAACATTTACTCTTTTTTCACTTTGATACTCCAAGGCATCACTTTGATACCCCAAAACTATTATTTTAACACTTTATACTTCCAAATTTTCAATCTCATCTTGCTTTACTGCCGTATGGATTTCGTTAGATTTTTTTTTTTAAAAAAATTCGTATGAGTACTTACAATTGAGTAAAATACTTCTAAATGTATCTCATTGTAAGAAATAGAGCTTTGCTACAGGGACCCAAAATATGGGACCAATAGAGGGGACAAATGATGTGTCTCCCTCCTATTGGATAGTGAGTTGGCCATCATTAATGATGACCAACTCATTATCCAATAGGTGGGAGACACCTCACTTGTCCCTTCTATTGGTCCCATATTTTGGGTCCTTAAGGAATTTTTCTAAGAATAATCCAAGTTAAGTAAGCGTATGAAAGTGAAGTTATCGAAATGGTAAAGAAATGCTTCGGAGAATCAACGTGATTCGAATTTGGGGATGAAAGTTCCAAGGGAGGAAAAATACTTTAACGTATCAAAATGAAAAAATTATGTAACCTTTAGGACACCAAAGTGAAAATAAGCCTTTCTTTTTTTTAAAAAAAAAAATATTGGTCCCAAACTTTTTCATTTTTTTGAAACTAGTAGCCAAAATACTGATATTTTCAGCCCCCAAATCTTTCATTGTTTTGAAGTTAAGCCCCCAATTTTTCATATGTTGAAATGCGTCACCCCTCATATATTGAGATTAGTCCCCCAAATCTTATAAGTATCTTGGAATTAGTCCCCCAAATGTGTCAACGAACTACTAACTGGAAAGATTAATTTTAAAACATTTAAAAGATTTGGGCGACAAATTCCGAAATATGAAGTTTGGGGACTGATTGTGAAATACTCAAAGTGTTGGGGGAATAGTTTCAAAATATCAAGCTAGGGACCGATTCCAAATATACACTACAAGGCCATGAGATTTCGTTGCTCCAGTTTCTCTGTGATTCTCTCGTTGCTCCTTCATCAGCGATTTGACGGGTTCAGATAGATAGCTGAGAGCTACAAAGATTTCGAATTTCTATTGGAAACCCTAAACATATGTCTAAATTGTTCAGCCCGAGCTCCTCTGGCCCCCACTGCTCCATAGCAGGTAGCCTTCTTGTACTTCTCGATTATCTTGCTTCACAAAACCCTAATTTTTATTTTCTAAAACAAAGTTCCCCATTAAATTTTGCTAAAAGCTATCGTCTTGATAAGGAAGGAGAAATCTTTGCTAGAAAAAGAAGTCTTTGCGGCCATCTTGAATTGGTTACTCTCTGGTTGGCAGCATTATTCCCCATTTTCTCAATTAAATTTAAATATGATGTTTTTTTTATATGATTAAGTATATGACAGTTTGCTAGCTAATACATCTGAATATCTATACTTGTCAATTTTCTCTGTGGAGCTATATAATTTCAATAAATTGTAGTATTTTCCGCATGATGCTGAAAATAGGAAGAAGAAATTTTGTGGGTTTAGAGTGTAAAAAAGCTTTACGGAACAGAATGTTGAGAAACCAACGTGTGCAAGAAATGCAAGAAATGAATATAGCAGAAAAGAGAACACTGTGATGGCCTTATGGATATACACTAAAAAGATAGAATAAGAAATGAGTGCATCGTTGGAGATTACATGTTGGTTATATTGAGGACAAAAAGAGAGTCAATTGAGATGGTTTTGTCTTGTCCAAGAGACGTCAATGCACCAATTAGGAGAAGTGAGAATATTATAGACCTAAAAGAACTTGGCTAGAAGCAATTAAGAAGGATATGAAAAATATTTACTTAATGAAAGAGATGACCCATAATAGAAATGAACTTTGTTAGATGAGGAGGAGAGATCTGTTTTCGACATTGTTGCACAATAGTGGTAGGCATGTAGTAGTCAAATAGCCAGGGCAGTAGTAGAGATCAGTTCTTTAAACATAGACTAAGAGCAGATCAAAAAATAGACAGTAGTAGATGACCAGATCGAGTCATATGTGGCATCGAATCACCTATTCAAGGCCATGGAAAAAAAAGAACAAAACAAACAGGCGACGACACTGTAGCGGTGACGGCACTGTAGTGCCGAATACAAATAGGGGTATGGTTAACGGGTCACAACCCATTAACCCAATACCCAATAGACTTAATCTAACAGATAGAATATGATCCATGTAGTCGACTCCAAAATTTTAGGATAAGGGCTTTGTTGTTGTTGGTTTATAGTGAAAAAAGCTTTAAAGAACTTGCTGAGGCTTTATGCATCCCATATATGTCATAAAATGATATTTGTTTCTGATCTTTTTCTTTCTTATTATTATAGGAATTGAGTATAAGGCCATCAAAAGTAGAGATATTTGAAGTCCTTGATCAAGATAACTTTTGTGTTGGATTGAGTTTAGTTCATCCCACTGGCAATAATTAGTTTATGATCTACTTATATCAGCATTCATCAAATTCTCGTTGAGGTAATGACTATGCCCCGAGTTAAACATATGTGTTTGCCCCTAATGAATGTGGTGCGCATGAAATCAATGCCTATTTTACAACTTCTTCAACTAGAAGAAAGGCTTCTGAGAACTTCTTCAGATAACTGGTTCATTGTTAATGACGGAACAATTCACCCTGCTATAGTCATGGGCTTATCTGGGTAAATCTCCATCTGATACTTTATTTGTTCTTATACCTTATTCGCTTAATCATAGCCCAAAATAGTAAAATGGTATTAACAGGTACCAGCAATATGTGATATCAGGAAGCTTTCAGAACTTGCTGAACTTAAACATGTGCTTCATGATAGCATTCCTGTTATTAAGAGGTTCACTGGAGGAGGAACCGTGATTGTTGATGATGGGACAATTTTTGCTGCTATTATTTGTAATAAGGATGATGTTCCAGGGGTTCAGCCATATCCTCGCTCTATTATGTCTTGGACAAGCAAGTTGTACGGGGAAGTTTTTCGTGGGTTTGGTAATTTCCATCTCCGTGAAAATGGTATGTTGAGCAGATAATGTCATCTGAGAACTTTTTTCTTCATTATTATTATGATTACATTGTGCAGCATATTTACTTCATCTGCTTGACCTTATGTAGCAAGTTAAACTACTGTTCAGGTGCGATTGTATTGCTTTGCGGTTTATATTAATAGAAAATGAATTTACACTGCGCAAATTTCTTAAGAACAGAGATACTGCATTATTGTAGCCGTTCAAGACAGTATTATAGAATTATTGAGTCAAGTCAGCGGTGCTTATCTACTATGCATGTACGATGATCATGTACATATCCAAAGCACTCATACCATATAGCTATTAGTCGGTCATAAAGTTTACCTCCTCATTGAATAAAGATTTCTGAATCCTATTTTATATAGTGTTCAAGAGCTAATGCTAACTCCTTTGCAAGAATAACTGCTTGAAAATTCCTTTTGAAAAAGTTATGTTTTCTGTATGCCCTAACTTATGTAGTAAGTTTAGATATGTTTCTTTTCCTAGAAGATTTGTTGATTATGGTCAGCAAACTTTATTTTTTGTTCAACAATCAATATCTTTGCTGATTAACTTTTTTCAACAATTTCATTTCTAGATTATGCATTTGATACTCGCAAATTTGGTGGAAATGCTCAATCTATTACAAAGAATCAGTGGATCCATCACACATCATTTTTATGGAATTATGATGTCAAGAATATGGATTATCTAAAATTACCCATGCGGGCTTCAAAGTATAGATTGGTATGATTTTCTTCACTCTTCTGTAGTTTATTAAAAATATTAATAAAAACTGCCAAAGAATGTATGCTCATCCTCTGAATTGTATGCTTCATACGCTTGTCCAATAAGAAGGTTGTTACTGTAGAGAAATAGAAAAGACAGTTTATAATTCATCTAACTCTAACCTCTCTTAAATAGAGATTAGGAAGGTATTACAAAATAGGTTTGAGATAAAATCATATTTAATCACGTCTCACAACATCTCATAATATCTATTAAATTTACTAATACCAAATTATCAATAATATCTAACACTCCCCCTCAAACTGGAGCATGTATATATTATAGATGTCTCACTTGTTACAAATAGAAATAGAACGACTAGTTGCAAGAGTTTTGGAAATGCATCTTTGCTTCAACGATTAGAAAATTGTAGTCATAGCTCAAAGAAACCTTAGGCGGGCAAGCTAGCAGAAACACTCTAGACAGATAAGCTAGTAGAAACACTCTAAGCGGATTAGCCAGTAGAAACCCTAGGCGGGTCAGCCATTAGAGAGAAATCTTAGGCGTCCAGTCAATAAAGAGAAACCTTAAGTGGGTCAGCTAGTAAATAAAAACCCTAGGCGGGTTAGCTAGTAGAAGCAACGTCAGAATCAACTATGTACTTTTGCAAGTAACCATCGATAGATGACGAAGAGCAATGCTGTTCACGGTGAACAATACCATGATAGAAACACTAGAGGTACAGTTTTTTCATTGAGGTTCAACAAAAATTTAATAAACAAATGATGTAAAAATGAAAGATGCCGAAGCCCTTGAAGATGTTGTCGTAGCTGCTGAGGGGAGCATAGAGGCCATGTAAAATCCCGTCGACGGTCTCAAGATCTAAAAAGATGGGAGAAGTTGCTAGGATTGAGTTGGCTCTTAGTTTTGTGTTTAAACAATGTGAGACCAAACTCAATTGTCTAATCACAATTACTTTCGTAATCACTTTCCTAATATCTCTCAATCACCAAATCTCAAACAAATCCATCTAATATATCATTCGTAATATTTTTTATTTCTTAATTACTTATAACACTCTTCAAAATGATGACAATGCAGAGTTTATTTGAGCCCATCTAGATGTCGGTGACCATAATGATAAACATATGACCCCTCTCCAACTGAAAAACAATTGTCTCTACCTCCCTTTCAAAAAAAAAAAAAAAACTCCTTGCACCACCGTACCATCCAAATCCGTGGTGACAACAATATGGCAACATCAACGGTGATGGTAGCGGCAACCGTGACGTCAATGGTAAAAGCAACAGCGGACTCATAACGACGTCAAAACAACGGTGGCGACCCGTCAGAGGCTGCTG